CCTTCACACATCTTCTGTGCTGTTGGGAAAGCACTGCTGCCCCCCCCCTTTGTGTGGCCCACCCTCCTTTCCTGAACCCTCACTGTCTGCTCAGTTCCCATCCTCACTGCAGCCGAAAGAGATCATTTTCTTTTCTGGTCTAGGACTCAGTGTGTAAAGTTGAACGTGTACACAGTTCCCACGCCTGATCGCAGCCTTTGCCTCTTAAATTTTGTTTCCTTCTGAGCAAATGTGGCTTTTCATGATGTTCCTGCTCTTTACTATGATTGCCTGTGTTACTTTTAAGTTTTTAATTTTTCATTGTTGGTGTTGGGGATTAATCATGGCTGGCAAGCCCTCTACCACTGAGCCACATCTCCATCTGTGTCACTGAACACTCCCTAGTCCCCTTACCTCCAACAGTAGCTCAATTACTGAATTTCTGTAAAAGGCAGTGGGGCGGGGTGTGGTGGTGCATGCCTTTAATCCCAGCACTTGGGAGGCAGAGGCTGGCGGATCTTTGTGAGTTTGAGGCCAGCCTGGTCTACATAGTGAGTTCCAGGACAGCTGGGGCTACAAGGAGACCCTGTCTCAAAAAGACCAAAAACAAAGCAGTGGACTCTGAGAAGGAAGAGACCATATCATTAAGAAGTGTTCGCGGTGGGTGCTCATCCATATGACAGTTATAATTCTGAACTAAGGGTTCAAGAGAACTGGCTGAAGGGTTTCCACTAGTGGGAAGTAAGGCACAAATCAAACAGAAGGATTTTGTGTATTGTGAAAAGAAACTGTTTGCCATGCTTGGGGGTACAAGCCTTTCCTAGCTTCTTGGGAGGCTGAGTTAGGACCAAAAGTTCAAGACCTGCCTGGGTTGCAGAGCACATTTAAGGTCAACCTGGGCAGCTTAGTAAGATCCTGTCTCAATCAAAAGTGAAAAGAAAGTCGGGGATGTAGCTTAGTGATAGAGTGCTTGCCTAGTGTGCCTTAAGCCCCAGGTTCAAGCCCCATACCAAGAAAAAGTAAAAAAGCCCAAATGAACAAGCAGTCAACAAATAACAAAACGAGTCCCCAAAGTAATAGGGTCCTGTTACAATTTATTCTATAGTTAAAATCTGCACACATACAAAGTACACAAATCTTAAATGTATTAGATGGATTTGTGTTTAAGTGTGTATCTATGTAATTGCTGCTCTGATCTGAAAACCTTTCCAGAACTCCAGATTTTGCATACCACATAGACACCAGCTTCCGGATATCATGGTGGGGGTGTGGGTAACTGCGGCTGGAATGATTCCAGCGTCGCCCCCCTTGGTGAACACATCTTAGACTTGCGAACTGAGAGCACTAGTGCAGCAGGAGAAAGTAACCTGTTGCCGTGCACGGCTTGGCAGCGAGCTTCTGTGCACAGCTTTGGTTAGTCTGCCCCAGTTTAGGTACCTGCCCCTCCTTTGCAGGTGCTGGAGGTTGGAGCTGCAGAGTGATTTGCCTCAGACCCCACAGCTAGGAAGTAGCACTTCTCAGGATTGCCCAGGCCCAGAGACTGGTTCCTATTGGTGACCTGTTGCCTCAATTTTCTGGTCCTGTTTAAGTGACAAACAGTGAGATGTGATGTGTTGTGTTGTATTGAAACAGGATCTCATGTATCCCAGGTTGGCCTAGAACTGGCTATGTATCTGAGAATGACCTTGAATTCAGATTCTCCTGCCTCTGCCTCCCAAGTGCCACACCACCACACTTGGTTTATGCTGAGGGTTGATGTAAGTAGTGGTGCCACAGTGATGACTCAGTGGTTAAGAGTGCTCACGTAAGAGTGCTTACTTCAAGCATGAAGTCTGGAGTTAGGATCCCAACACCCACGTATCAAGCTAGGTGTCTCGCATACCTCAGCCCCAAGGGATGTGGGGACAGGAGGATTGCTGGGACTTGCTGATTTCCCAGGGAGCTAAAATCCCCAGAAGCTCCAGGTTCAGGGAGAGACTCTGCCTCAAAAGGACTAGGCAGAGAGTGATGGAAGAGGATGGGTATCTGATGCCCTGCTCTGATCTCTCGTCTCTGCATATATGTTACCCCCCTTGTGTGCAGGTGCATGCACACACACACTAAAAAAAGAAAAAAATTAGTATGAACTGGAATAAATGTGTGTCAGCATTAGGAGAGTGGCAATCTTAAAATATTATGGTTATGCTTCAAAAATTAACATTCAAAAGAAATAGGAAACTTCCACGGGCACAAAAAGGAAAAACAATTGCTATGAACTTCAGAGTTCTGTAAACCAACAATGCATGCTAATGCCTTAATTTAGTTTCACAGTGCAAATTGTAGTCACATTTGAAGAAGTCTAGCTATTATGTACAAGTGACACTTGTAAAAACGTGTCTCACACTTGTCCATTCCACTCACTGTGTTTTTAACTGGGAGAGTAGAGACGGGGAGTAGCCAGGCTAGCGATGTAACTCAGTTTAGAGGCCTTGCCTAGTGTGCACAGACCCTGGAAAAGTGGGGGTCGGGGTGCAGGAAATGGAAGGGACAGTGAAATTCAGGTTTAAAAGATGGAAGTGTTGCAAGAAGTTTCAGATTGCTATAAAGAAACTCATTTTAAGAAGTTATCTTGAGCCACCTATATAGTAGGAGGATCAGCAGTTCAAAGTCATCCTTGGCTCTATGATGAATGCAAGATCAGCCTGGGCTACATGAGGCCCTGTCATGGAAAACCTCAACCTCAAATTAAATAAAAATCCTCCTAATCCTGAAAGTATAAACAACATACTATATCTGTCTTCTTGATTGGTGAAGGACTGTAGTCTCATGGTGTGCAGAGATCGGCCTGCTGTATTTACTTTCTGGAAAGCTGTGAGTGCCAACCAGTCAGGACTGCGCCCACACCTGTTTGTTTTAAATGCATTTGGAGTGGTGCTAGAGCCAACTTCCCTCTACAAACTGCTGCTCTTGGAACTCAGTTCATGTACTGGCTTTGTTTAATAAGCCACACATCTAAATGAAACTGGCAGAAACGAAATAGAATTATGGGTTATGAATTCTGTGTTTAAGGCTATTCCTAAAATACAAATAAAATGTGAAACATTTCCTTCCAAAATAAGTACGTGAAGCCACTGTAGCAGGCAGGTTAATGTCCCCTTTGCTCTCTTTTTCTTCACAGTCCTGTTTTGAGGTGCTTTCTGAACATAGGTCGCCAAGCTGAGGGGTGTCACTTAAGAATACTGTGTACTTAGAGCCTCTGCCTGCTTCCAGGAATCCTTGCCTGAAGAATGGCTCATGCCTTTGCCACTCGTTCCTGATGTGGGGCTCTTTTTTTAAGTCATTCCTTCAAGTCAGTGGGGAAAAGAGCCGAGGAAGTCAGCTCTCAGCAGAGCCAAGTGAGCCTCAGAGCAGGGTGGCGTTAGCATCTGCTAGTGCTCTTCCAGGAAGTGAGGAATGCCAGATGCCTGTTTTCTTTTTAAATCATTTTTCCCCCTTTGGAGCAGGGTTTTGCTATAGTCCTGACTGGCCTAGAACTTGCTATATAGACCAGGCTGCCCTTGAACTTACAGAGATCCTCCTGCCCTTACCTTCAGAGTGCTGGAATTAAAGACCTATGCCACCATACCCGATTTCTGTTTTGTTTTGTTTTGTTTTGTTTTGTTTTGTTTTGTATTTTTGAGACAGGGTCTCCCTGTAGCCCCAGCTGACCTGGAACTTACTGTGTATACCAGGCTGGCCTTGAACTCACAGAGATCTGCCTGCCTCTGCCTCCCAAGTGCTGGGATTAAAGATGTGAGCCACCACGCCTGGCCCAATTTCTGTTTTAATCTTTTAAGAGAAACTTATGACTCCTTAATTATCCATTCTTATGGTGATGGTTTATAAGATCAGGTGGGAGGCTTTGGTAAACAGAGAAATAAATTTAAGACACAACTAAGAAAGCAAAAGATACCAGTGAAAGTTTGTGATTCCTGAAGTGAGAGTTCCTCGCTGTGTGTCAAGGAGTAAGACCTGTGAGGAACAGTGGGGCTGGAACATTCTAGGCCTCTTATTCATCTTCTCTTTTGGTTCTAGGACTAATACTTACTAAATTTGAATACGTCTGAATTATAATGTCTAATTTCTCTAGATTCTTAGCCCTAAATAACTATAAAAAAAAAAGCATAGTAGATCTTTTGCAATCTTTCTGAATAATTTAGATAGGAAAATCCAGAATATTTACTACCTTTCCTTTACTGGAGAGGCACTCTGAGGAGACGCTTGTGTAACTGACAGAATTAAAAATTAATACAGGGGCTAGAGAGACGGCTCAGCAGTTAAGAGTGTGTACTGCTCCTGCAGAGAACCCATGCTCAGATCCCAGCACCCACCTCAGGCAGCTCACAACCACCTGTAACTCCAGCTCAGGGGATCTGATGCCCTATTCTGGCCTCACACATGTGTGTGAGCATACACCACACACACACACACACACACACACACACACACACACACTTAAAAATAAAATTTTTTAATATTTTGGTTTTTAGCCTTAGCCTTTAATGGCTGCACTATCCCTCCAGCCCTCAGCCCGAGTGCAACCAATTATGACTAGTAATAATCAGATACGTACAGATCAGAGATACATGCGCCAACATCTCAGTGTTATGAGCAAAAACAATGATTCTGTGAGGAACAGTATATTCTAAAATGAAATGGAGATCTTTTTTAAAGGTTAAAAGCTCATTCAATTTTATGTCTTACAGGGTTTATACTGAGTTCAATACTGTATAACTGTATTAATTCAACAGTGAACCTAAAAATTTTATAGCCACTTTTGAAAGAGATGTGTCTTTGTTCTGGAAACTGTTAATGAGTATGTTAAAGCTGTAATGAAATGCTTTTTCTAAAAAAAAAAATAAAAATAAAAAATTTTAAAAGTAAGTAAAACCAATTACAACAGTTATTTCCAGAGGAGTAGAATTCAGTAAAGCTGATGTTGTATAGGAAGGTAAATAACATACATTTTAAAATAAGGCTTTTTTTTTCTGTTTGTTTTACAGTCCTATTTTGTAACAGATTACGATCCAACCATTGAAGATTCCTACACAAAGCAGTGTGTCATAGATGACCGAGCAGCTCGGCTGGACAGTAAGTGAACCCCGATAGCTCAGATCTTATTTCTAAAGCATCCTGCTTTTCAAATGTTATGTGTAATGTTTTGCCAGGTTAAATAGTATAATTGTATAAATAGTATAATTGAAATATTAGATGATTTTGAATATAAACCTTCCTTTCATTAGCCCTCCCATCCCCACCGTACTGGGGGTCAGCTCAGGGTCAGCCCATGTTAGGCAAAGTCTCTACCACTTAGCTGCCTACATCCCTGGCCATTTTCATTGGCACCGATTCTGACGGGTGAATCGGTATATTGGTCAAGTACTCCTTGGCAAATGGAAAGTAAAACAGTAATTGGGTTGATTTTGTTCTCTTGAAACTGGTTTTGTCATTGTAATTTGTTGAAATGTATTTATTGAGGCAGTTGGAAAAATGCATCAGGTCTCTGCTCTTCCTGTCTTTTGACAAAGGTTAAAATAGAGGAAGTGACCATAGAAAAGATACAGTATTTGTTAACTGGGAGTTTATAGCATAGTGGCTTTAACAGTAAACAATTTCTTCCTTCTCACCAAAGCAAACTCTGCTCTTTCAGTTAGTATGACTCTTATGCAGAGTGCTCAAGAAAGACAGTGCCTGTGCCAAGTATGGTGAGAGAGAGAGAGAGAGAGAGAGAGAGAGAGAGAGTAGAAAGAGAGGCAGAGACAGGAAGAAAGAGGCAGAGACCCACAAGGACAGTCAGGGAGAACAAAAACAAGCACAGTTTCTTTCTTAAACCTACGGATATCTTTTCCAAGATCTTTACATGGAGGAGATAAATACTCAACTGATTTCAGAGCTGATTTGGTCCCATCTGCCTAGATGTGTTTGATATTTTTAACCTTGTAATTGGTATGCTAATATATTCTAACCACAAAATCAATCTGTGCTGATGAAGATAGACTTGAAACTGTCTGCCATTAGATTGTGTCTGTCTCTAGTGTTTAGTGAGTACTAAGGGAGGAACCCTATTCCTCACGGCACCAGGTCGGTGGTTCTTTGGAGGACCTCGTGAGGAGGCCGCCCTTGTGGGCAGGCAGTTTTTCAAGTGAAAACGCACAGTTTCCCCCATTGTTTTTTTCCTTTAGTTTTGGATACAGCAGGACAAGAAGAATTTGGAGCCATGAGAGAGCAGTACATGAGGACTGGAGAGGGCTTCCTCCTGGTCTTCTCCGTCACAGACAGAGGCAGGTTCGTACAAGTACCAGAGCCCAGGGTCAGTGTGATCGAAATGCATTACATACATGTATGAGGATGTCATGTGGGATCCCTATATGAATAGCCAATATATATGAATAAAAACCTTCAAGTC